CAAATCAGAACCCTCCAAATTGATTTGGAAAGCTTTGGCAATTCAGTTATAGACACAGCTTTAAATATTTTTTCTACATACCTCAAGGTACCAGGTGGCTCATGAACGCTGCAATGGTGGGGTGGATGGAGCATTCCAGTCCACTTCTGGATCCACTGGGGAGCACCCCGCACCCCCTCCAACTTGACAACTGGTGCCTCCTGGGTTTGGGGGGCCATCCAGGGTCCCCCCACAGCCGATTGCCAAGCCAGGGGGTGTGGGGGAGCATGCCCCCCCATGCTCCCCAGGAAACCCAGATGTGAACTGGAAGTACTTCCAGTCCACTTCTGGGCTCACCGCCAAGCATGTGGTGATCCCACATCCTATGGGATGCTTCATCCACCCCAGCATCGCAGCATTCATAAGCTGTGCCTAGTACCTTGAGGTATGTAGAAAAATAATTTAAAGCTGTGTTTATGGCCAAATTGCTGATTCTCCGAATCAGCATTGAATCCTCAGATTCAGGTTTGGCCAAATTGAATCGGGGACAGCGATCCAAATCAACAAATCAAATTACTATCCCTGATTTGGGCCGAATCTGAATCAAATACGGCCCATTTCGCACACCCCTACTGCACAGTAGCATTTTGTCATGGTTTTTCCCACGCATCACTACTGCACAGTAGTATCAGGCTACTGCACAGTTAGCAACTCGTGTAGACTCACCCACTGATTATTTTGAAAAAGTCAAAAGCAGAACATAAACTTGTTTTTGCCTCTGCTTTGCCTTGGCTCTGTAGTGTGGACAGCATTGAAAATTAGAACTCTGACAACTGAGTTTGTGTATGTGATGCCATAATCTTGCACAGATCAGAATTTTGGGTGCCCCACAGAAGCTTAAATACAGTTTGAAAATCTCCAAGAGAGATTATGTAGAGAAAATTGCCATTATAATGACCATAACCCCACTTTGGTCAATCACTTCCCTAAAATACAACTGGTTCTACACAAAGCCCTTATATCAGGGGTGACCAACCTGTAGCATGGCTGTGGAGTGGCAAGGGATGCAGCATGTGACACACGGTAGATCAGGGAGGGTATGGGCAGCACAGCAGCAGATAGGGCAGGAGAAAGAAAATGAAGTAGCAAATTGGGCAAAGAGTACAGGGCTGGGCTCAGAGTAGCAGATCAGCCAGCTGAAGGAGATCAGAGTGGCACTTGAAGAGGTGTAAGGTTAATTTGTGGCATGTCTGCCATAAAGGTTGGCTCCCACTGCCTTATATAATTATTCTTCATCTCAGGGATGGCTTTGTTTATCTGACTATACTACATCTCTAGGAATTACTTAAAAACTAACACCTCATTAGTCGCTTCAGGAAAGCAAAGATCACCAAGTGTAAGATATATACTAAGCATTTTTAAGCTAAGACAGGTGTTTTGGGTGCAAAAATGTTCACTGAGCTTAATGCAAAGTAGAAATACTGATGCAGGATCTTATTTTAAGAAACAATCTCCCCTTTTTCATTCATATTTTGGTGTTTGCAAGTGATTGGGCTGTAAATTTCCTGGTGAAAATTTCCACTCACTTCCTTTTTTACCCTTTCAGAGTGTCACCATTTTTAATATTTGTTGGAAGGACGGGCAAAGCTGGCCTTAGGATATCTTTGACAGAGTCTATCAACTGCTGTCAACTGATATTTTGATCTAGAAATAGCTACCCACTTCACTGAAGCTGATGACTATTAACCAAGTGCCGGGGCAATATATGCCCATTAATTCCTCCCATCAGAGGACTGCTGTTTAACAGTGTACAGGGCATTGGAAGTTCAGCCCTAGAAATATTGCTTGGCCACCAGGGGATGTCACGATTACCCCAGGGCACATCCTGTTACAGTTGGAGTCAGACTCACTGTCAGGGACCCTAATCAGGCAATCCAGACTGCACTAATTGCCTAGGCAGCCACACCTTCCTGGAGTCTCTGGCTGACAAGCTTTGCCTCTGGCTGGCTCCCTGGAGTACCTGGCCCACCTACCCATTTAGCCTCAACTGTGGCAGCAGCCTCCCAGCCAACTCTTCTGACCCTGGTCTGCTTTGGCAAGCCTCCTGGTCCCCATGCTCTCTGGTTTTCCTGGTTTCTGACCAGGTGTTCAGGTCTGTTCCTGGACTCTGGCTTTGGACTGCACTGTGGGTCTGTTTCCAGGTTTCCTGATCTCACTTGGCTCTGTTCTTGGAGTCTGATGTGTAAATTATCCCTTAGACTTGGTAACTTGGTATCTGATTCCCAAACCCTGACCCTGGTCTGTGTTGTGGACTCTTCCCCTGGATTTCCCTCTGGACCTGGTTATTTGGCTCTTATACCACGCAGACAAGCCCACCACTTCTGCTGCAGCCCTTCCCAATTTGCTCCAACATGTGTCCTGAAAACTAATGTGCATGGGGCAGTTTCTCCTCATGGCAGCATTATCCTGGAGATAGATGCAGTTTCCACCAGGTAAAACTGTCCTACCCACCACAGATGGCACAAGCCAAGCCAAAAAGGGCTGCAGCAGAAGTGGGTCATTTGCCTACTTAAAGTGATGCAGACAAGCATAGCTTTCTTTTGCAGCCATTTCTCAATTTGGCTCTGATGTATATCCTGAAAACAGGCATGCATGGAAGTTCCACCCTACATGGGCAGTGGTAGTGGCATCACAGCCCACCTGGCAGGTTCTCATGGCACACTGGCTGAGAACCAATGATGTATTCTGTAGACCTCTATTGAATATTCTCTATGCATTACAACAGTGACTGTTCATAACATTAATAAGGGTTCAGTGTGCAGAACAAAGAATAGAGACCTGTGGTGTTGCTCACAAAGATTAATTTTGCTCTCAATATTAAACTTAAGCACTCTTATTGATTCTTTTCCTATACATCCTTCAGTCAATTCAGGATAAGACTGAATAGTTTGCAGACTTGTTTCACTATAACATTATAAACTCAGGGCCAAAAATTTAACAATACAGACTTCAGTAGTTTATGTCACAAACATAAATTTTGCCAATTTCTGCAGATCATGTGTAACTTCTTAGTATGAGGGATACAAAGGAAAAATAGCTTTTTAAAAATGCAAAATGCAAATGTAATACGTTGTCTATAAAGAAGAGGATCCACATACTTAACTTGTTAAAGTGAAATTGCACTCTGAATCTTAGGAGGGATTTGCAGTAAAAATATCAGGTTGAGATTAAGTCAATAAAATTAATCACTCATGACCCTGAAGGAGCAGAAAGTTTGAAAAATGCTACAAAATTGAAAGCTACCATGAGCAAAGGGACTTGGGGAATTCATCTTAATCCACCACAGCTAAGTTTAAATACAAGCTGCTCTTTGTTATTCAACCTGGGGTATTATTTTTCATATGGACCTTCACATCTGACCAAGCTATAATCACATACAGTAGAGTTTTCTTTATCTGATCATAAGAGTTTCCTGGTTACTTACATAGCAACTATGAAATGCCTGTGGAGGAGATGGTGGTGGTGACTATGTGCTGCCTACCTAACCACTTCTATCAGTGGATAAAGCACCTCAAACTAATCCAGGGGATCAGTGCATGTGTAATGCAGACCTTGGATCCCCATTTGTGCCTTTACATTGACCTAATGTAATTTTTTTTTACTTCACCATCATTATAGTAGAGTTGTACCAACCAGCAGAGCTGCCAAGTAACTCCATATCATGCTTTTTATGCAAATATGGGAGTACACTAAACTCTTCTGTCCCACCACAGAGGTGGCTGCATCTTGCTACTGAGTAGGGAGGCCCTGTACAACCAGTTGCCCTGTCCCCACATGAGAGGTGACCACATTTTGGTTCAGCTGGATCTTGGTGCTGGATGAATGATTTCTGCATACACAGCCGGTGTGTCCCACCCCAGAGGCGGCTGCACATCAGCAGAGGGTGAATATGTAAAATACCTCGCTGATATTAGAGAAACTGAAAACCTTTTCTTCCTTCCTTCCTGCAGTTCTGAAGGGAAAGAAGCTCAGTTTGCCAGCATAGTGCTGACGCAGTATCACTGCCCTCCTTTGACACGTGAGGAAGAAGAGGAGGGGAGACTGATCTTACAAACTACAGACACGTACCATTTCTGACACTTTTCAGTTTTAGTTTTGTTTTTTGTTTGTTTGTTTTTTTTAGCAACAAAACCAGCTACAAGCCGAACTGAGCTCTTGTCTTTTCTGTCACCAGGAACTTTTAGCTACTTGAGCAAGAGATCACAGTGATTTGGGATGAAATAGCAGACGCATCTTTTCTTTTCTTTTTTTTTTTTT